TGCTTCTGGGATGTGGCAAATCTTTTAACTTAACTTTGACCTACTTCTAATTTTTATTTCTGATAAAATATAACGAAAATTTACATAACAGAAGACATTTTTTAAAAATGGGTTTAGAAGTGTTAATTAGCATTAGTTGACAATACAATTGATATAATAATAAAAATGCTAATAAATTTTATTCAAAAAGTAGATTTTAAATATATTTTTCATAGGGAATACTTTTTTAAAATAAAATTATGGGAAATAAAATATATGGTTTTTATAAGCTAACCATCAACAAGATATAAGGTAAAAATATATGAAGTGCAGTTTGAAAGTAAAAATAACAATATAAATAGAATGAGTGAGATTAAATGAAAGCTGTAATCTTAACAAAACTAAATTTTGTCTCAGTATTTCTACTTATGTATTGAAACCCAAGATTTGAGATGAAACTGAAATTTCCAGCTAGACTCGCAAATGTTCCAAGTTGATACCAGTGCTAAGCTGGACCTTCTCCACTGTGTATGGGGCCTCTGTATCAGAAATCATATTTGTGATTAAATTCAAATGTATTGTTTTACATATTCATAGCAGTGCTTGTAATAGTTACTTTTTTATTCAGCAGTTAAAATTTTACAAAATATAAAAGTACACATTTATAACATACGTGTTTAGACCCTACTTTAAAACTGTGTTTACAATTTTAAATTAACAATATGGTCTAGATAACTATTAGCACCAATGGGATTAAAAGCTTAACATAAACCAAGCTGAATGTATTGATTGAAAAATAAAGAATCAACAGATATTTTTTTAAATTAACATTTGTGAGGACTAAACAGCAGCAACAAAAGGGTTAACATAGTGCCCAATAATGCTTAAATTTACCAACAGAACAAAAAGGGTTAACAATGTAGAACTTACCAACAAAAACAAAAGGGTTAACATAGAACCCAATAATGCTGAATTTACCAACAGAAAAAAGGGTTAACATTGTAGGACTTACCAACAGGGATAAAAGATCTTTCACCAGTCAACTCTTCTCTGACTGCCTCCACTCCACTCTTGATAGAAAGAAGAGCTCCAACAGCCAGACTAATGGGAGGTTCTCCCACAGCTACAGATGGTGGAAACAAAAGCAAAACTCAGCAGTATAAAATATGATTTATGACTGTGTTTTATTGTCATGGACTGATTGATTGACTAAACAAGGTCTAGAGTCTAGACTTTATCAAGCTAGTTCAATATATTTGAAATATTGTGAAAATAAAACATTTTAGAATTAAGAAAGGAAACAAAACGAAGCACATGAAATAGTTTAAAGGTTTCAGTATGTGGTTTATTTTTTGCAAGTGATATTTTCTTTCAGTTAGTTGATATGTTCTTCAGTAAGTAAAGCTTTGTCTGGGATTGTTTAGAAGTTTTAATATGCTTGGAAAGAAATTCAACTGTGTATTTATGAGAGTTTAGCCCCTACATAATGCCTACATACTATCTATAGTCCCATATTCCCTTTCTATTCCCTAAACATTCCCTACCTTTAGAATTGAGGACTCCAACAGGGTTGGGTGTGTCAGGCATGAAGTGGATCCTCCAGTCTATGGGGATGTCTTTTGTTGTGGGAGGTTTGTATTCCTGGTGGGCAAACAACAGAACTTCATATAAAAACTTAGATGTGGTAGAGAAGAGCAGCAAGGTATTGCCGACCCAAAGGTCTCAAGATCTGTCCCATTTTGATCTAGGGTACAATTGTTAGGTTCAAAACTTTAGAAAAAAGATGGGAGCATTGCATAATACTGGTCGCAAGCCAATCAGTAAACTCTACTTTATCTGTCTTACATACTCAAATACCATGATTCACTATATATGAAAATGCAGTGTCTTACATACCCATGTCATTCACTGTCTATTTGATATTTGAGTGTCTTACATGCTCGTGTGTTTCACTATCAATTTAAAAACAGAGTTTCTTACAAATACATCATTTGCTCTCTCTGTCAAAATGGTGTCTTTATAATAAAATGGAGTGTCTTATATACATATTATTTACCTTCTATATACACATTGACTGTCTTACATATCTATTATCTACCATATATATGACAGCGGAGTGTCTTACATACCTATTATTTACCATTTACATGAAAACGGTGTGTCTTACATACCCATGTGCCATCATTAAGGACCTGGCCAGTTTTCTTGTCAAAATGAAGGTCCTCTGACAAGTATGCGCCAAGGCCCATGGTAAAAGCTCCCTCTACTTGACCAATGTCAATAGCTGGGTTGATACTGTAAAAAAAAATTTTGAAGACAAAGTTTGTCACTATAAAACTAAATTTTAAAGTTTTATTTTTTTAACCCCAAATTAATATAGATTATAGATTGATACAGTACTGCAAAAAAAGTATTTAGATTTAATTTTTCTCAATATACAACGATCAAAATTCGACAGTGTAAAAATAAAAGTTTTAAATTAAATTACTATTTAAGTTTATGCTGTGAAACTAAATTTGAAGGTTTTTTTTATTACAAGATTTTATTTACTTTGCAGCGTCTGTTTTTGTTTTGTTTGTGGGTTTGTCGCAAATCTCGTAACTCAATTTTGACGTGCGGCATCAAAACGGCAAATGACAAAATGGCCCCGTCAAAACGACCCCGACAAAAGGGCCTGCAACATGAGGACCTCTTCGTATAGGCTCCAGACAAATAGGCTCCCGTCATTTAGACTCCCGACATATAGGCTCCCGTCATTTAGTTTCTCGATATAACGGTCCACGTCATTACGACTCCCGACAAATAGGCTCCCGTCGTTTTGACTCACGACAAATAGACTCCTGTCAATTTGGCTCCCGACTAAAGGACCACTGACAATACGGTTTCTGTAGAGACTAAGTCTCCCGGCAAAACGGTCTCATTGAATATGACACCTGCCAGTGGGACCCCTTCATCAATATTCTTTAGAGTCAGCTTATCCAACATGCATCTCTTGTTCGGCAGGCCCTATTTTTATAATAGTTTATCTATTATAATAAATAGTATCTATGACTTCCATAAATGAGTCAGTTATAGGCTGTTCCAACTCATTGTGTGGGGAGAAGGGTCCTGCAGTGTGCTTGTAGGTTATAAAAAAAATGCCGTTATCATGTAAACATCATGTATATCATATATTTACACTTCTGTGCTCGCTTTTAAGCCACAGATCTTTACTGTTGTAAATTAAACATTATCAAAACTTTAGAATTGGTGGAATTTAGCTGTTAAGGGCTCGATTTGTTTGTGAATTGATGTTGGCATTTAAAAGAGGTTATAGTGGTATTGGAGGTAGGACAAAATGGTTACTTTTATACCAATAGCGGTCATGTCATTATTCATCTGGAGCCAATATGTCCTGAGTCATTTTGTCGAAAGCCAATATGTCGGGAGCCCAATTGTCAGGAGCCAATATGTCGGGAGCCAATTTGTCGGTAGCCAATATGTCGTGAACCCATTTGTCGAGAGCCAATTTGTTGTGAGCCCTTATGTCGGGAGCCAATATGTCCTGAGCCTATCTGTCGGGAGCCAATATGTCGGGAGTCCATTTGTCGGGAGCCTAAATATCCGGAGCCCATTTTTCGGGAGCCTATATGTCGCGAGTCAATAAGACGGGAGCCCATTTGACGGGAGCCAATAAGTCGGGGCCCTTTTGACGGGGCTATTTTGACTGGGTTGTCGGGGGTCGATGTGACGGGGTCATATTAACGGGGCCGTTTTGAGGGGGCCGATTTGTCCCGGGCCGTTTTGACAGGGCAAACTATTTTGATCCACTTCTAATGCAGCGATTTCGTGACATTTTTTTAGGTACGTTCCACTTCGATGATAATAGTACCTGTCTATTGTTTTATTTTAATTAGATACTTAATTAGTCAGTAAAATTAATCAAATGGGCTGGAAACTAAGGGGAGCAAAAAAAAAAATATAATTTCTCGATAAATTACTATAATAAAAAAGAGCAGGGGAGATAGCTTGCTAGAGACGATCACCTTAAAAGTCTGGTGAGAATGTTTACAATCGTAAAGCTGGTCGTTCTAGTGAAGGCTATTAGGGGCAGATATTACAGTTTTTAAAAGGTTTGAAAGTATGGGGACGTAAAAACAATAGAACTTGATGTCGTCTATAAAATATTATCACGGACGTCTGCATTTCAAGGAACAGATAATCGTCTTTTAGATATCGCAAGCTACTTAAAATGTTTTAAAGCAAATATTTTTAGTCATAAATTTGGAGTCACTAAAAAGTTGAAAATAAATAAAATATAAAAAACTGTTAAGGGCACTGAAAATAAGAAAATAAATATAACGTACTATCATTTATAAAAGCTTTTGTCGCGTATGAGATCTGTTACATATTTTAGCGACAAAAGCTTTTATGAAAAAATGTAAGTTAGTTTCATTTTCTTATTTTCAGTGCATTTTAAAACTTGTGGCTATAAACGGTTTTTAATATTTTTTATTTATTTTATAAATTGAATTTTTTACAAAAATGCTTAGACTAGTTCTCTTGACATGCTGTATAGTTTATTTAGATTATAAAGTAGAGAAGCCCACACTTTAACATAATTTTTAAAATTCTATTTGAATATTAGAGAACCTCTCTTAAAATATGTGTTTAGAGTTACCTCTCTCCAATTTCAGCCATTATGTCAACTCTCTTGACCTGGTATTCCCCTGTCAGGACATCAACCTCAGTCTCAACAACAGCAGCACAGTATGTGTGGTATTGAAACATATCGTTTATCTTGTCAGATCTAGGTGCAGAGATTAACATTTATAAGATTCTTACACACTGGCATTTGTTTGCATACATTAGGGATAATTCATAGGGATGGGCTGGTAAAGATGATGGCTGATAAACTAAAAGCTCGTGGGTTCAAATGCCCAGGCGGGTGAGGTGCAACAGTTGCGGACAGCAACAAAACAAATCTAGGAGAGAAAGTTCCAAAATCAAACAACTGCTGCTTTGCAGTGTTTTATTAAATGGATATAGGCTATACCAATAACATAACCAGGGTCGTCTCATGGAGGGGGGGGGTGTTCAAAACATATATATATATATATATATATATATATATATATATATATATATATATATATATATATATATAAATATATAATATATATATATATATATATATATATATATATATATATATATATATATATATATATATATATATATATATATATATATATATATATAGTTAATAATGTAGTTTTTTATTTCTTTTTTTTCCATCCGCTATCACTAAAATGAATTAAAATTGCTTGAAGTAGTAAAAGCAAGCACATTATAAAACCACTGTGCAAATAGAAAATTGCTCCATCATTAGTTCCTAGACTGTGCTTTCCTAATTGTAGCTTCCTGGCTCTCTCTCTATATATATTCTAATAAATTTGTTTCTACTAATCCAGAGTCAACAATTTGTTGTCACAACACCCACGCTTTCTGGTTGCACCACAGCTAGGCCTACCCGCATTCAGCCCATCCCTCCCCCTTTGACACTCATTAACTCATTAACGGATCTAACCACAGCCAGCTTTCCTTGGCCTACTGCAATCTAGACTATAAAAAAATAACCTAGTGCGATAACAATAATAATAACTAAGATCTACGCGCAATTCTCATCACAATGGTATACATTGTTGTTCTAGAAGCTGCAACCCGACCTAAGTGTTCAGTGTTTAAGCCCTAAATGGTAGCAACACAAGTCATTAGCTTATAAACCCCCCCCCCCCTCCTGCCTATGCCACTGGGCAATACAAGCAAATCACTATACACATGTTTATCTTACTTAGCTCGAGCTGACAGGTCAATATTACTAAAATGACACATTTTAAGTAAAGTTGGCCAGTCAGCATCTGGCATCTTAGCCCTTAATGGCTCAAGTTTCTCATTCAATTCTCTGCAAGCGTTGATGGCTGCCTAAGATAGAAAAACAGAATTAAAAATAAATATCTGAGTCCTGTTTATTCATAATGGAACCATTGTCTAAATGTATGCTAAACATGCACAAATGTTTAATGAAGGGTTTAGACACCCAGAGACACACACTGAGCCAATAGATAGCCTTCCTTATAGATGAAAAAACTTACAGAAACACAGGTATCAGTGGCAAAGCTTGCTCCAGTGAAATTCGGGTTAGGTATGGTGTTGTTCTGTAGAGGTCGTACTTTGATGTAATTCAGTGGGACTTTCAGTGTCCTGGCAACAGTTTGGGAGACCTGTCAGTTTAAAAAAGCTTTAAAATAGAGTTAAACAAACATGTCACTTTTAAACAAAAACAATAGGCAGTACCTTATGCATACATGGAAGCGGTCAGGAAAGAATTAGATTATCTGGTCAAAACTAACAAAATACAACGCTAAAATTCATCAGTAGCTTCGCCCATGATGATAGTAAAAAACAAGAATGGAAACGCAAGACTTATTTCTATCAATATTTGTTACAATTATTTCAGCAATGGTAACACTAAAGATGTCAAGCGATGAATATTTTTACACAACTAGTGAAGGAACTAGGAATAAAGTTTGAAGATAAATTGGCATTTGAGAAGGATCAGCAAGCAGCTGGAAAAGAGGCAGCTGACAAGGAAATAGCTAAAAGGGCTGAATAGAGAACACGGGAAAAGAGATATTGCGGCTTCTCGTAGAAGCAGATAAAGAGGGAGCAGAAATAGAAGAAGGAGGCTTGCGCTATAGATAGAGCTAAAGATAGCGGGACGTACCACTGGCATAATCCAACAGACTTTCTATAACTCGAATCAAATGTACTTAAAAATTAGGGAGTTTAAACAACGAGAGGAAATATTAAACTATTTAATACACTGTAAAGGCATAGCCATAGCCAACAAGTATGATAAAGACATGTGGGCATGCAGACTGTTGAGTAGGTTGACTAAAGAGTGTCTCAATGTAATAAGTACTCAATGTAATAACGTTAGTCATTTTTGCATTAACAAAGGCCTACTTCTTACCAAGTACTTTGGGTACAACCCTGCCCCAAATTTTTCTTTTGTGTATACTTCCTGCCATGAATTTTATTTTTGTGTGTAATTCTCTCAATGGCCTATGTGCCATACACTCGTAAATACCTTTGTATAAAGTCCTTGCCCCATATCTACTCCTGAGGTCATCAAAGTGACTGTCCCATCATCAGCAAACACAGAAATATTGACCTCATGGCCAGGAGGATAGTAAAGGATTCTGAATTTAACAGCACACATGGTAATACCTCGCTTACGCCACTTGTTGTTCTAGAAAAAAACATTCAAAAAATATATTTTAATTGTAAATACATTTTTTTGCACTTCTACATTTTAAATTAACTTACCAGATTGAATTGATCTGTTTGCTTTATCCTCTCAGTGACTTCAGCTATTTGCTTAAGTCTCTGCCACACATCTCTGATGGTACAGTGTGTTAGCTGAATACTCTCTAAGTCTGTCTATAGAGGCGAGTTTGGTAATACATTTTTAAAAATAATTAAAACCCAAATATGCAATTGTTACAAATTATGGCTATGATAAACATGTACAAACAAATATATTTTGGTCTATACATTATCTAAGTTTATTGTTCAGATAACTTATTAAGATGATTACAGGGTGTTGCAGTTTAAGTTTATGTTACTGAGCTTAGGTTAATATTAAACATTCGTTAGAGGCTAAAAGTTTACCTGGCCCTTCTCATACAAATGTATCTCTTTAAAAAGAATTGGGTGCATTCTGACTTCTTTTGCAGCATGTTCAAGGATACTTTCTATGATCAGGGAAGCTGGCACAGCCCCTTAATGCGGATTTAAAAGAGGGTCATATATATATATATATATATATATATATATATATATATATATATATATATATATATATATATATAATATATATATAAGTTGTATTAAATTGTTTAAAAAGAAGGGGCCTGCTTGGTCCGGCTGGTAAAGCTCATGGTTACTAAGCCAAAATGTCAAGAGTTTAAACCCAAGGAAGATAATGCATAAGGGAATACTCCAAAATCTAACAACTGCTGCCTTTTTGTTCTTGGATGAACAAAAGCTGTGAAAGCAGATGTAGAAAGAAAAGCAGGCTGAAATCTGTGTCAACCTGCCAAATGGCGCATAACTTGTTGACTCGTAATACTTAATTGTGTTGGAGTAAATCCTTTCAAACACTACAATTATGAAAAAAAGAAAAAGAGTTTTTATTTTATGGCGTGCTTTTAAACGTTCACTTTCCTAACTTTATTGACAAGAAACGTAAACAAAATACCTGGTCCACGACAAGCTTGTGCTGTGGCTTTGTTGGTGCGGACAAGTGTGGTAACAACATGCCAGTTGGGGATGTGGTAACCTGTCAATGCAGGAGTTTAAAATTTTTGTTTTATATGTAGCCGGTAATTAATAGATATCAAACATAGTCCTAAAAGATGAATAATAATGATAACTAATAATAATGCTTTATTTTTTAACATAGACAATAGTAGACACTAAGGTCATACTTTTCTCAACATTATTGTTAGCAACACCTTTGTTTGATTAGAAATGTTAATAAATACCATTTAATATAAAGTCAAAAGAAAGAAAGTAAAACATAATCGTTGTTAAAATATATGATGTAATAGAATTTACTAGATCTATATTTGAAACACTGAGTTGACTCAGTTTAGTTTTGTTTTTAACATATTTACCACCAGTTAGTTTTATTAATTATTAATTTCCATGTCATGGTTATGCAAATGTATGATATGATATTGTCCTAGAATCGTTTTATCACTTTCCATAAAACATTTCTAAATAATAATTAAAAACAATTAATTATATTAACCTTGGTCAAGTGTCTGAGGCAACCGTCCAATAATAAATGAAGGATGGAAACCACTATCTGTGTATATATCAAGATCAATCACATTCATTTTTCCTTCTCTGTTCAAGCCAGCCTATAGTGAAAGCAAGTTAAATTAACTATTTTGGGCCATCAGATGCATCTCAAAAGAAAAAAAAATTAGGAAGATAAGTTAAAATTGCAAACAAACTTTAAAGTATAGAATTTTAAATATATTTATATTTTTTTTTATTACTACCTTATATTTGGCCAAAATCGGAAACCTCCTCCCAGCTACTTTCATGTTTGTAGCCAAATCTATGCTGAAGCGGACAGGCCTGTGGGGAAAAAAAGAATTTGTATATTTGCAGCCGACAGGTGCAGAATAACCTTAAGTGCTCTCCACCTCATGGTAAAAAGTTTTTGGGGTCCCCTATAAAATGCAACACACTCACACCATATATATATATATATATATATATATATATATATATATATATATATATATATATATATATATATATATATATATATATATATATACTAGCGTGCCCGGCCCCGCGCATTGCCGCGGGGTTAGAAGAAAGTCTAACAAAATATATTAGGAGGGTTTCACCAATGTTTACGAATCCTATATTCTTAAGATGTGTGATATTGTTTTCTAAAACTTGAGTTATTAAAATGTAAACAATGCCTGTGCTTGGATCATAGTTGTCGGGGCACTGGTTTACCTACACTAATCACTCACCGAAATAGCACCGTTAATTACTCACCGCCTAAGTGTCTGGAACTTAGGGGGACGCTCTCGTGAGTCCCCGATTATACTATCGCAGGGGGGGGGGGGGGCGGCCCCTGGTTCAGTGTAATCATCGAATGTCGTGTGCCGCCTTGTCAATATTATAGGTTGCTTCTTAAAACAAACGTTGGCTCCATAGTGCTCACAGGATAGCGCAGGGCGCCAAATCGACGGGGCGCCGGTAGTTACTCCTGTTGAAGTTTTAACACCGAATACAGTAGTACCCCGTACCCGCTATGTAGGAATCCCGATTAACGGATGCCAAGTACTAACTGTCATCCAATCGCCATGAAACTTTGGGGAGTTGATGAGAATTCTCAAATTTAAAAAAAAAAACTAATTTCGTAGGGGCGGCGGTCCGGTTCATTGCGATCTGATGCCCTGGGCTATTCTGTGAGCGTTAGGGCGCCTACATTCCATTTGAAATTGCGATAGGTTATGGACACGATGGGTTACAATAGTCGTTCACTAAATCGGAGGCCCAAGCGGTAAAGTAAACGATGGCTCGCTACAGTGCTCCTCTACGTCCATGATACCTGAGTGGTCGCCGATATATATATATATATATATATATATATATATATATATATATATATATATATATATATATATATATATATATATATATATATATATGTAAGTGTGTGTGTATTTAATGAAAAGTGGTTTAACAAAAAGTAAACAAATACTAGTGAAAAGTAAACCAAGATAGGAAATCATTTGCTAACTGATGGGAATTTAGCCAGACAGTAAATACATTCTACACAGTTGTCAAATTTTGCTCATTTAATGTAAACTAGAGTGAGACATAATAATGTTATTTTAAAATGTATGCCCAAATCACCCCAACATATACATTTTCCTCTATGAACACAAGATTATCAACGTAAAATCTCAATCATTCCCAAGATAAATACTTTAATATCCAAATAACACATAATTTCTGAACTATTCTCCTGTTAATTAGACTGTGCCTAATATTCAAATCTGAGCATCACGCTACCCTTCCGTTTACCTTTTGGTGATGTAGCATGCTAAAGTTGCAGCAGCAGACATACTGCAGGAGTAGAAAAATTTGCCTCCAAATCCACCTCCAATTCTACCTGCGATCACATTGATGCTGGAATAAAAGAGTCTCTAATTACAGATTTAACTTCCGATCAGATTAGTGCTGAAATAAATCTCATTATGAAATAAACAGAAGAAATCATATATATATATATATATATATATATATATATATATATATATATATATATATATATATATATATATATATATATATATATATATATATATATATATATATATATATATATATATATATAAATTATTGTCCGCAGAGTAAGTTTTAATACATTACCTTAAAAACGTTGCTAATTATTGACATGAAAGAAATATAGTGTTAACTATCCTATCCCTTCACATGCTAAGGTCACAGAAAGAATTGAAATATACTTCAGCTGCCTAGTGGGCCGCAAGGTGTGAAAGGGAACTTTCTTTTGACTTAGACTTGACCAGGTATGGAAGTGACAAAACGTACACTTTTAATGGCTTGTCTAAGATATTAGCGTAGGTCTGAAGATCAACAAAGAAAAGACGGAAATGATGAGAATTAACAATAAACAGGAGGCTCCAGTGTCAATAGACGGAAGACAGGTAAATGATGTGCAAGAGTTTGTCTACCTTGGCAGCAAGATCAGCAAAACGGGAGGCACAGAGGAGGACATACGCGCTAGAGTTAATAAAGCCCGCTGCGCTTTCACAGTCCTGCGACCCATATGGAAAAGTTCGGCCTTCTCCATTACCACAAAAATTAGGATATTTAACTCTAATGTCAAGGCAGTTCTGCTGTATGGAGCAGAGACATGGAGAGTCTCCAAGGCAAGCACATCAAAGATACAGACCTTCATGAATAGATGCCTTAGACAGATACTGAAAATGAGATGGCAGGACAAAGTGCCGAACTTGGAACTATGGAGGAAAGCTAGGCAGGAGCCTATAGGTGTGCAAATAAGAAGGAGGAAGTGGCGCTGGGTGGGTCACACACTGCGAAAGGCTCACACAAATGTTACACGCCAAGCGCTTGAGTGGAACCCCCAGGGAAAGCGGAAGAGAGGGCGCCCAAGACAGACCTGGAGGCGGAGTCTTCTTGAAGAACTGAAGCCAATAGGGATGTCTTGGGAGATGTCAAAATTAATAGGAGGATAGGAAGAAATGGAAGGAAATGGTGGAGGCCCTATGCTCCATAAGGAGCAAAGAGGACTAAGTCAAGTAAGTCAAGTCTAAGATATTAGCAGGTAGGAAGTGACAAAACTTACACATTTAATGGCTTGTCTAAGATATTAGCAGGTAGGAAGTGACAAAACGTACACATTTAATGGCTTGTCTAAGATATTAGCAGGTAGGAAGTGACAAAACGTACACATTTAATGGCTTGTCTAAGATATTAGCAGGTAGGAAGTGACAAAACGTACACATTTAATGGCTTGTCTATGATATTAGCAGGTAGGAAGTGACAAAACGTACACATTTAATGGCTTGTCTAAGATATTAGCAGGTAGGAAGTGACAAAACGTACACATTTAATGGCTTGTCTAAGATATTAGCAGGTATGAAGTGACAAAACGTACACATTTAATGGCTTGTCTAAGATATTAGCAGGTAGGAAGTGACAAAACGTACACATTTAATGGCTTGTCTAAGATATTAGCAGGTAGGAAGTGACAAAACGTACACATTTAATGGCTTGTCTAAGATATTAGCAGGTAGGAAGTGACAAAACGTACACATTTAATGGCTTGTCTAAGATATTAGCAGGTAGGAAGTGACAAAACGTACACATTTAATGGCTTGTCTAAGATATTAGCAGGTAGGAAGTGACAAAACGGACACATTTAATGGCTTGTCTAAGATATTAGCAGGTAGGAAGTGACAAAACGTACACATTTAATGGCTTGTCTAAGATATTAGCAGGTAGGAAGTGACAAAACGTACACATTTAATGGCTTGTCTAAGATATTAGCAGGTAGGAATTGACAAAACTTTCTAATTGAATGGCTTGCCTAAGATATTAGCAGGTAGGAAGTGACAAAACTTACTAATTGAATGGCTTGTCTAAGATATTAGCAGGTAGGAGGTTACAAAACTTAAAAATTTAATGGCTTGTCTAAGATATTAGCAGGTAGGAAGTGACAAAATGTACTTATTTAATGGCTTGTCTAAGATATTAGCAGGTAGTAAGTGACAAAACTTACTAATTGAATGGCTTGCCTATTATATTAGTTGCAGCTCTATGGGTATGGGCTGCCCATTGTGTAGCAGCATAAAGGTCAATACCATCTTCAGATGGAACTGCTACAGACACCTGATGTACATTTTAAAAGAAAAAGTTGTTGAAAATAGTTTTTCCAACTTATCGATAATAACAAATAGTAGGTTGATATTAATAAATAGCTAATTGATAATACTGAGTAGTAGTAGAACTAAACTTTTTTTTTACTTCAGAAATGATTCATGGGCCCAGTTTGAGTTTAGAAAAACAGTTACATTTTCTACTTCCATAAACTTCCTCATCTCTAATTACCTTAACATAATTTAAATTTGATTCTTTTAAGCAATTTACTACTAATAATGTCTTAACTATTGGCACTAAACTACCGGATTTTCTATGTAGAAGTGATACTGTGAGCCTTCTTTGATTTCACCTGACACAACAATATCTGAGTCTTTGAAAGCATCTGAGTATATAACAACAAACATATTATTCTATTATTCACAGAAAATCCTATTAAAGAAATAAAAGGTAACGTTCTTAAATGAATGTGTTTTTTTTTTAATTTTGTATTGGTTTGTTAGAAAGAGAACATTTTACGCAAAAAAGTTCCTACCATCTGGACTGCCAATAACTTTTTCCTCTCTTGTTCCCTCATGGAACATTTTTTTCTCAATGGCTTCTTCTAGTTCTGTCACTGGTTCCTGAACATTTGTATAGGTGACCTTCACCTTCTTAGCTGCCTCATCAGCAATGCTCTGTCTCTCTGTTTATTTAAAAGGCCTCATTTTATAAATTTAGGTAGAGTTTACTAATCAAAAGATTGAAAATCTAAAAAGTGAATAGGTAAAAAAATCATATTTTTATACAGTATTTATTTTATTTTGTAAAGATTTACTAGGATAAATCATTGCAAACTAGTTTACCAGCTAGAATTAGTCCAATGGCTTGGCCGGCATAAGAGACTTCTTTTGTGATGAAAACCTTTATTGATAAAGATAAATCTGTTTTACCAGATATCAGAGTTAGACTATAAAATATGTTTAAATGATCCAGGTTGGTAAAGGACCAATCAATATTTGTTAAAATTTTTGGATATGTCAAAAATACTGTGTTTACACTTGTAACATGTTTTTCTCTTTATGTCTAAAAAATACCTGTAATAAGTTAGAATACATATTCAGCATGAAAGATATTCATATAACATTAACTTGCCATGCGTTTCTTGTCTTAGACATATTCTGTATACATGTTGCAAGTGAAACATGGTGTAACACAACGACATTTACTTGTTATATCATTTAGAATATCTGTTGTAATATATTCTAAATTATGTCTTCAAATCAGCAGGGATAGGATTTTGTAGCCTAGTTAGTATTTTAGCACTTACTTCTTCTGGGGCAGCTTCAGGAAAAATCGAACAGTCTATGAAATTGTTCTTGCCTCCCTCTGGAATATCAGCAGCACTGATGTAGCTCACAACTCCAGGGATTGCCTGCAGATTTTAAAACTATAATTAGCTTTTGTCAGAGGATGTTGAAAAAGAGGGTTTTAGAGAATAAAAAATTTGAACTTTTAAAGTTTAGTGTAGTGTCAGATTCGGAATTATGTTTAGTTTAAGCAAAGTTAGTTACATTTAGTTCTAAGCTTAATTAAACAATGAGTAATAAGAATGAGAACTCTAGATGCTTTTGAATACAGTAACTATTTTCATTAAGGTTTGATCAAACTTAGTACGAGAAATTTTGTCCACTTACCAAAGCTTCAGATGGGTCTACATGTTCAAGTGTGGCTGATCCTACTGTAGAAATTACAAAAGCTGCACAAAGTTCTCTGCGGAAACTTGGAATATCATTGGTGTAAACAGTTTCACCAGATGTCTAGTGGGATAGTTAATCGAAAAAATTACACAGATTTATAATTACTTAACAAATAAAAATAACTAGTTTATTACTAATAAAACAGATTACTTCTTACCTGTAAAGGTGCTTCCAATTTAGATAGGGCTTGCTTGATAGGGAACTCCTCTGCTTTCTCTTGGAAAGTTTGTAGCCCAAAGGACAAAGTCCTGTCCAAACTGTCAGCTCCACTTTGAACTCTCAGATCTGATGGTTTGTAGACCTCTAAAAGTGTCTGTCAGGTGTGGTATAGGCTATAGGTCAGTTTTTTAATGCTATTTAACACATTACAATGACGTGTGCATTTGTAGAAACAATATTGAAACTTTAAAACTTATGCTAGTGTAGAATTAAAAAAAAATTATAAATAAATAAATGCTTTCAAGTAAAAACAAAGATATAATCTTATCAAGGATATTCTTTGATACTAAATAGGATTTTATTCATCCAGTCAAGTTAAAAAAAAAAATAACAATAACACAATTAAGATAATTACGGGAAAAAAAAAAGAAAAGTCAAAGATTTTATGATTTTCACACACTTTATAGAGGAGATTGACAGCCAGGTCATGTCTGTATTTAGCAGACGCAGCAAGTGGATCATCTTCTGCTGGAATCAGCTCAGCAGATAAAACCTTCAATGTTTCTAAAAGAAATATTTTATTATAATATTTATTAGCTTCAACATTAAAATATCATTCAAGGTCTATTTTTTAAAACTATCATTGTTTAATAACCAGATACTTAACACACAGTTAAATAAAGAAATATATCCTTGAATAAAAGTAGCAGATAGTTTACACTCATATATTTATATAAAAATTCAACATTAATTTTTAAGTTAGAAATTTAAATTACTTACAAAAGGAATGAACAGATCTTTACCTGAAATAACTTTGTCATCGAGTTGCTTCCCTTTAATAAACGCTTCTGCTTTAGAAGCATGAATCTAAAATACAAATTATGTCTAAACGATGACTTAATAAACATATTTTAATTATTTTGACAAGTGGTGTAGTCAGGCCAGTCGTTACATTGTGTTATAACGCTGAAGTAGCCTACATCTCTAACCTCTCAGGGTAATGATCTAATGGTAAACTTAGGGATGAATATTTTATATTTTAGCTTGAGGAAAACTTCCTGTGCTCATTGATGTATTTTAATGTAATTAGTTGTTTATTAGGGATGAATAGAACTGTTTTAGCTTGATGAAAACTTCCGGTGCTGTATTTTAATGTAATTAGTTGTTTATTTATATGGGGGAAATCCTTGCTCAGTTAATTTTTTTGCAGGTTTTGCTTTTGTTTATATCCTGCAGAGAGTATCACATGGTACAGCCTCTACCTTCCTCTCTCTTATCCAAACTGAACCTAACGTCTGTCAAGTTAAAGCTAATGAAAACATACTAAATTCATTTATCTTTTGCAGCAAAATGCAGCTATAAGTTGGGTGGCATTCTATTGTTTATTTTAAAGTAAAATAGTAATTTGGTTGCTAATTAAATGGGTTTAGGTGATTATGGGCTAGTTGCAAACACCCAAACGGTTAACCTAAAATATTTAGGATGATCAAGCCAAGGAACCATTACTCTTGACGTGCATGTGGACGCTAGACACGATTCCGTTGACTATTGGGAGACGTTATAGCCCCGACCAGATCGTTAGACGAGAGGCAGCATGGAGTCCTAAAGTGGTCAGTGTTCAGGCGTGAAACGCACGAGTGCATATTGAGCAGGCGTTATCTCGAACGTCGATTGACGGTACATAGCCTGACTCGGAAACTTGGACTAGCGTCAGTTGACAGGCGCTGATTGATGAGAAACACCTGTTCCTTGGTCGGCGGTGGGTGAGGTAGCCCACTGGTATATAGTAGGAAGGGTGGCTTAAGGTTCGAGAAACTACAGTATAATCCTTGGATGGTGGCAGACCTAAGGCTGGCCGTGAAGGCTGGATTATTGACCAAGCTGATGTCTTGTTCCCATTAGTCTGACAACGTGTTCCCGTGGCCCGATGTCTTGTTAATATGGCTTGATGTTTGCATCCGTAGCCTAATGCTTTATTCCTGTGGCCTGTTGTCTTGTTCTCGTGGCCAGATAATTGTACCCATGGCCAGATATCTTGCGTACATACAGGTGTGGTACTCACTTAGATTCCCTATATATGTTCTATTTCAAAACAATGAATTAATGTTAGTAGCCAAGGTGAAAAATTTCTCATTTGAATGTAAGTTTAATTTTTTTGTCATGTGGCTTGTATTACAATTTCAAGGGATGTTTCATTGAATATGAAAGATGAGTCATGTCTTATTTGTATTGTTTTCATAAACCAATGTGACGTCTAATAAATGTAAATAAATGTATTGGGCTGTGTGTTTGAATATTAGTTTAGCACCAGTGTTTGATAGACATCTAGAAATTAGTTTGCACAGGTTTGGTAAACCTCCTTGTTCCAACAAGGATGCACTGATGGGTGACCATAACCAGAGTTTCTTCCAGGCATCTCTTCGGGGGGGCGAAGCCCCCCCGAAAATTTTTTACCGCCCCCCGAACGAAATGAAATTTATATAATTTATATAGAAAATATATACTTTTAACAGTGTCCGCCCCCCCGGAGAAAGTTTACCGCCCCCCCGAAGATTTCAAGTGCCCCCCCGGAGAAAAAAGTCTGGAAGAAACACTGACCATAACCATCACCAGCAACCCAACCTAATCCCTTACCTTGGTACAACCCCATCCCTCCCCTAACATATAGGATAATCTCAAACCAATGATCTCACAAACATACACTTTTGTAAGTTCTAACAATATTTCTTAATCATGTTAGTGCTGTGATTAAGCAAAGCTTACCAATTTTTTGCTGATACCTCCATAAACAAAAGATGGAGTTCCTGTTACCATTTTCCCCTCAACTCCAAGCTTAAATGCAGCGTTTACATATGCATGAGCATTCTGTTAATATAATAATATATTAATATAAATATCAAAAACCTACATATAGTTTAATAGTTATAAATATATAGATATTTTTAAAAACTAGTCTAAATTAATAATATATTCTGCCACATATTTTGTAGGCCTACATGGTAATTTTTAAAAATTTGATAATACTAAATTTCAGAAATGACAGTGCTCTAACAAGCTACAGGACATTCTATAAACAAAAAGCTAAACTCTCTTAAAGGATAGATATTGTTCATGTAACAGGCCGTACATAATCAGTTATTCCAATTTTGCGAATTCGTTTGACCTGTCTTTCTCTAAATCTCTCAGTGTAGGTTTTGCTTTAGCTTATCTTTAACTTATACAGTATGCCATGATTGGTTATTTCAAACATGATTTTGTAGCTACAAAAAAAAAAAAAAAAAAAAAAAAAAAAAAGTTTTTTTTCAGTAGACTACCTGCCATCTTGGAGTAATTTTAAAAGAACGGAAGACTTCAGACTGTTTGAAGCTTGGGAGTTGAAGAAAAGCTATGACTTTTTGCTTCATGTCCACTTTGTGTAGGAAGTCCAACAGGTTGTATTTTTTTGTGCTGCCATCTTTAGCATCTTGAAAAATTAAATCATTGATATTAATTTTCTTATATCGACACTCTCAAAAAAATTACTAATAAAATTTAAATAGAGAAAATGAACAGGTATATTTTTTCATAACACTAACAATTTAACTAAGGATGAATGTGAGATGATGTTATAATTAATAGAAAATAAGCCTCGTTGAAATGAGGGTATCAGTAAAAAAAACTTACCAAAGATACCAACAATGGCTTCCATGGCTTCGGTCAAAGTGAAAAGATCTGATGGAAAATCAGGATGGTTTTTCTTTATCATTAAATTTCCTGCAATGCAACCAGCCTGCAAAGTTAAAGCCAAGTAAAATTAATAAATCAACAATAAGGGAGCTACTCTGATGTAACAGGTCTTAAATATTAGCTAGCTAAATATTTCTAATAATTAAAACCAATCAGAAGCTGCCTTACATTTCTAACCAGCACACTGGCAATGACTTTGAGATGACGAATGACTGCAGTGAAGTAGGAGAAGCCAGCCTTGTGTTGCAGCTCCTTCAGATGGTCCTTCAGCTTAGAGAGTGTGGTGTTGCCACCAAACACAACACTGTCTGTGTTTTCCTGTAAGGAGTTTTACATCAGTGGGGAACAAAATTTTTACTACCATGGATAAAAATTAATGTAAGTGAGAACATAAACTTGTCAGACCTTAATGTATTTCATATAAAAAAGTAATCTCCAATAAAAACCAGTTTGCATGTTTTTAAATTATTAAAACTGAAAATTGTGTCTATTAAACTCTTTAGAAATAAACATATGACCCAGATAAAGTGGCTAGACTGAGTCGGGGTGCAATCTAACACAATTAACATTTTCTTTTTACTTTAAAATAGTTTTTTTCAAAAAAGATTTTAAAATTGTGCTGCATATAGATATATTTTTGGTTATTCTCCTGCGCATCTTGCTTAATAATTTTATTACAATTTTACATTAATTCAGTTTAGAAAGATTTAACACATTATTCACTTAAATGAAATAAGAAAATTAAAATTAAAAGCATGTAAATAAAAACAATTACTGTAAACAGGTAGAGCTCCTTCACCCCATGAAGATCAATATAAACCTGATAGGGTCCTTCATTCTTAAATATTCCTGGAGACAAAAGACAAGTTCATACAATGTTAACAATAATAACAAAATAAATATTTCTTTTTTTGTAGCTCATCTTTTTAATAATTTATATTTCTAATCAGTATTAAACTAGCACAATTAAAACAAAATGTTCATAAGTACTCTCTCCTTTACCTTTTTCTTTATTCACCTGTCCTGACAACGAGATAATGAATCGGCCTTTGAATCGGAATTAACCTTGATCTACACTTAGTTACTGCACTTTGATACTAAATATAGTCGTAGTCATACCCCTAAGCCTTGCACATAAGCCCAAACTTGACAAAAGTCGCATTAAGAGTTACTTTCGGGCGACTTTATGGTAGGGGGACGACGGGGCCCCCCGAAACCTTTAAAGAAATGTAATTTATATAGAAAATATACTTTTACCAGTGTCCGCCGTTCGCCCTCCTCACTGGCCGCTAAACCTCAATCATGCAGATAGTGTTTCTTTCAGATTTTTTTCTCTTTTCCGGGAAAGGAGGGGGGAGGGGATTATACATTAGGGGGGGGGGGAGCGGGCGGTAGATGTGTGGCTGACACTAGTAAAAGTGTATATTTTCTATATACATTGTATTTTGTTCAGGGGTGGGGGTAGCTGGAAGAGGGGGCGGTAGATGTTCTTCTGCGGGGGGGGGGGGGGGGGCGCTCTGAGGCCCGTTGAGGGAGAAATACAACGGGCGCTAGGTTGAAAGTGTTGTCTTTTTCTCTATACCAAAATCGAAACCAAAATCACTACCTCAACTTCAAATTTAACCGGAAACGAACAATGTCATTGAATACGGATTTGTTTCCAGAATCGGCACTTACTTACTGGCAACTTTATCTATCCACCAGATAAAGGATTTGCGATAGGTTTATACAATTATTTGAATTAAAGATACGCACGAACAATTATCTTGTAAAGAAGTTTATATTATGTATTTCTTTACTCTTTGGCAAGTATTCCGCGTTGACAACTTTTATTTGTTTGTTTGTTATTACATGAATCTTTGAAGATTTAATAAATGTAGATCAATAGTATGAAAACCACATTGCCTTTTCCGCCATTTTGAATACTATTTTTTTGGTAATGTTTTGTTAGTTTATGAATGACTATCTTTTAAGCCATCTGTCCGCCTACACATTCTGCTTACCACACAGTTGTGAGACGTGTCCTGTCAGCAACTGTCTGCCCCCAATAGTTCGACATGTTGCCTAACGAAGCAATTATTTGCATTCTAATAAAATGCCTGTATGGTGACTTGCATAATTCATGCCAGTCATGTATTCAAATGACTGTATGTTCACTCGGCCAGTTGGTGCATTTATCATAATCTTTACACATGCATAACCATTTCCAATTCCATTATTGTCGCATCGTGTGCGTTTATAGCAACATACATTTCCCTGGTAGATCGTGTATGTTCATAACACCATACATTTACCTGGCAGATTGAGTGCGTTTATGACACCATACATTTAGCTGGTAGATCCGGTTCGTTTATAACGCCATACATTTACCAAAAAATTTCAAAACGTTTAAGGAAACCTTGTTTCTCAAACTTTATTCCCCCCTTGTGAGAATCTCTGCTTAACTCTGTCATTAGTAAGCTGTTAAATTGTATTTCGTTGGGGGGCGGGAGGGGACTCTGTCCCCCTACCCAAAAAGATGCCTAAAAGAAATTCTGCACGTAGACGCGTTTTAAAATTATACTAATAAATGAGGTGGTAATATTAGTGGCCTTATTATCAAGCATCGATGACGTCATTATTATTGTGTAATTTTTTGGGCAATGGCTTTTTAATTCTATGTCTACTCAAGAATCAATGACGTCATATGTTTGTGTGTACTATTCCGGCTTTAGAATATATCCTATATGTTCTTTGTGACGTGGCATCTCGTTTTCCGTTTGACTGTGAAAGTTTTTACTTTCCTTGTCTTTTCTCTATAGCTTTCCCAATAGATAGATCGAGTGACAGTGTGACACACAGAATAGTGAAACTATTATTATACGAGAAAAATGGCCCGTTTAGGAAGGATACAACGGGCGCTAGGCTGATAGTGCTGTCTCTTTTCTCTAAACTAAAACCACACACCCCCCCCCCCCCCACACACACCACCCCCCCCACCCCCCAAAAAAAACATGTCTACCGTCCCATTAACGAAATATAATTATATACTTTTTCCAGGTTCCGCCCCCTCCCCGAAAATTCTACCCCCGCCCCCGAAAATTTCAAGTACCCCCCACCCCTCTCCGGGGAGGAAAAAGTCTGAAAGAAACACTGGTGTCGCGCTTAGCCACTACCCGAAGAATTGCATTAAAGAAATTGCAAGAAAACCACTTTTTAGATTAGAAAAATTAATTTGGCGGTAATTTTATTATAGAGTATCGATGAAGAAATTTCTTTTGAGTTGGGGAGGGGGGCTCAGACGTTCTTAAGCGGGGATGGGGCTTCGCCCCTACCCGAAGAATTGTATGCAAGAAACACAGCAAACCATTTAGATTAGACAAAATTGCCTTTTTATTCAATGTTTACTCGAGAATCAATGACATCATATTACTGTGTGCACTCCGGCTTGAGATTATTTTCTACTCTATGCTAAATGTGACGACGTCATACTTCGTTTTCCGAATTACTATGCATGTTTTTAATTTGCTTTTGTTTTCTCTAGAGCGTTCTTGTCAGATACATAGATACACAGATACACAGACAGCAAAACTATTATTATAGATACGAGAAAAATGGCCCGTTGAGGAAGGATACACCGGGCGCTAGGCTGATAGTGCTGTCTCTTTTCTCTAAACTAAAACCACCCCACCCCCCACACACCCCCCACCCCCCCCCCACCCCCCCACACACCCCCCCACCCCCCCCCCCACCCCCCACCCCCCCCCCCCACACCCCCCCACCCCCACACCCCAAAAAACATGTATACCGTCCCATTCAACGAAATATAATTATATACTTTTTCCAGTGTCCGAAAATTCTACCCCCGCCCCCGAAAATTTCAAGTACCCCCCACCCCTCTCCGGGGAGGAAAAAGTCTGAAAGAAACACTGGTCGCATTTGTAGATCATACAAACTAAAGGAAGAATCTGGGCGGGGTTCCGCCCCTACCGGAAGAGAGGAAAAAGTCTGAAAGAAACACTGGTGTCGCGCTTAGCCACTACGCGAAGAATTGCATTAAATAAATTGCAAGAAAACCACTTTTTAGATTAGACACATTAATTAGGCGGTAATTTTATTATAGAGTATCGATGAGGAAATTTCGTTTGAGTTGGGGAGGGGGGGGCTCAGACGTTCTTACGCGGGGGTGGGGCTTCGCCCCTACCCGAAGCACTGTATGAAAGAAACTCTTCACGCAAACCACTTAGATTAGACAAAATTGCCTTTTTATTTAATGTTTACTCGAGAACCAATGACGTCATATTACTGTGTGCACTCTTTGGCTTGATATTATTTTCTACTATACGACGTCATACTTCGTTTTCGTTTCACTGTGCAAGTTTTTAATTTCCTTGTGTTTTCTCTAGAGCGTTCTTGTCAGATAGACAGACAGAGCGAAACTATTTGTATTAATATTGTAATTTTAGACAGCAAAATTTACTGCAAGACCAGAAACCACTAAATGTATATTTCTTGATTAAGCTTTCATTTTTTTAAACAACCAATCATGTTGAGATTACAATTAGACAAATTATTTCTAAACAATAGCCAAAACAAATTACCTGCAGATGTGTTGCCAAACAAAAGTTTTGTGCTCCTGGTGCTATTTTCTATGAGAAGTTTCCCAAGCTCTTGCAGGTTGTTTGGTCTGTACCATTTGCTTTCATGCAAGTCAAGGGATAAGCCATGAGAACATCCTTCTTGCTTCCCTTTGCAAACCTCTCCAGTTTTGGGACACAGACGTTTATTAAGATCCTGTAAGACAGTAAAAATTGTATGAAAGTTTATTAAATAGGAGTTTATTCAAGTGCTAATTTTGACTGTAAATCAATATATCAAATTATACCGTAAACTTGCATTTTTATATTCATCACATGTATTTAGTTATAATTTATATTGATATAAATTTTGTGTTATGGATTATGGAAACATGATTGTCTTGCCCTTGTTTGTCTTGTTATCTCAGTCTAATACTATTTCATTAAACAAAGCTCTAAAACGTATAACATTTGATTTCATTACCAAATTAAGTTTCCACAAGTTTTGCAGAAAAAAAAACCAATGGAATCCACTGACCTCAATGTCGACACACTTGGCTCCAGGAATAGTGGAGTCTGTAGCAAAAGACTTCATGGCGTCCAGGATTGACCTGTAGCCTGTACACCTGCACACGTGACCATCAAATGAGTCTTCTATCTCCTGCTGGCTCAGCTGGGGCTTCTGGTGGAGTAGTCTGGTTAGAAAATAGTTTCATTGGTTTTATTTTTATTGTAGTTTAAGTTTTTTATATCACTGAGTAGTCTGGTTAGAAAATAGTTTTATTGGTTTTATTTCAGTTTAAATTTTATATCAAAGAGTAGGCTGGTTAGAAAATAGTTTTCATTGGTTTTATTTCAGTTTACATTTTTATATCATTGAGTAGTCTGGTTAGACAATAGTTTCATTGGTTTTATTTTAGTTTAAATTTTATATCAATGAGTAGTCTGGTTAGAAAATAGTTTCATTGGTTTTATTTCAGGTTAAATTTTTATATCTATGAGTATTCTGGTTAGAAAATAGTTTTATAGGTTTTATTTCAGTTTACACTTTATGTCAATGAGTAGTCTGGTTAGAAAATAGTTTCATTGGTTTTATATCAGGTTAAATTTTATTTCAATGAGTAGGCTGACACAAAGCTAAGGTAAGTTGATCAAGTTTTACAATAGGCTTTTTGAAAAAAATCAGATATATTGTTCTTTGTTTATTAAATTAATTTCCTTATGAGAAAGACATGTAGATCTAGCTATGACTGAAGGCAGAAACGTCAACCTCAAACTGTAACATTTTTTTTCAATGGGGCTGGAAGTCTATATTAAATTATTCCCTAACAAATTGGCCAGTGTGTATTTGATTGAAAAAAATTTGTTTTTGACTCACCCATACATGGACATGACAAAACCAGGAGTACAGTAGCCACACTGAGTACCGTTATGCTGGGCAATCCTCTCCTGGATTGGGTGGAATCCATCTTTTTGACTGCCTATACCTTCAACAGTGGTGATCTGCCAGCCGTCTACACTGTACAGGGGGCAGAGACACTGGCAGGGGAGGTGATGCATTAAATAACACTGGCAAAAATAACTGCTAGCAAGGAGGTAATTCAAGATAAATGAGCGATATAATTTGTTAAATAAAATTTAAAACATACTAAAGCAATGACTCAATACATTCTAATAAAAATATAATAAACTAATTTAATAAGCAAAAACTATTCATTATTTTAAAAACAAACAGAAATTGTATTTATAGAAAAATGAAAATCTTACAATAAAATCTAATCAAACAAAACACGTTTTGTTTGAATTACTCACGGAGTTAATGCTCATGGTCTCTGCCTTATCTCCCCCTGGGGCGTAGGTCACGGTCACTGCACAACATCCACATCCGGCCTCCTTGCACATGATTTTCGTCCCCTTAAGTCCAGCAACATCTCTGATGTAATCATTTAGTGATGTGGTGGGTGGATACTTATCATACACTGAAATATATCATTTAATGATGTGGTGGGTGGATACTTATCATACACTGAAAGATATCATTTAGTAATGTAGTGGGTGGATACTTATCATACACTGAAAGATATCATTTAGTGATGTAGTGGGTGGATACTTATCATACACTTAAAGATATCATATAGTGATGTGCTATGTGGATACTTATAATACACTGAAAGATATAATTTAGTGATGTGGTGGGTGGATACTTATCATACACTGAAAAATATTATTTAGTGATGTGGTGGGTGGATACTTATCATACACTGAAAGATATCATTTAGTGATGTGGTGGGTGGATACTTATCATACACTGAAAGATATAATTTAGTGGTGTGGTGGGTGGGTACTTATCATACACTGAAATATATCATTTAGTAGTGTGGTGGGTGGATACTTATCATACACTGGTATATCATTTTTCGATGTGCTGGGTGGATATTTATCATACACTGATATATCATTTAGTTGTGTGATGATACACCTTTAATTTAAACGGAAATTTTGTGACCAGTATTTACTGACGGAAAAATATAGTAATTGTTTCGTGTATTTTGTGTACCGAATAACCGAATATGCCTAAACTAGAAGGAACAAAATAGCTAGCATAATTGGAAAACATTTCCATTCATCTTCAGCAACAAATTGTTGAGTCAAAGGGGTGAGGGGGGGGGGGGAGAGAAAGGGAGTGGGGGAGCACGGATAAAGATGAAATCCTCAAATGAAAATAACGATGAGATGGCTAAATATTTTCGAATCGGATGACGAGCGCATCAAGATAGACACATGGAAAAAATGAAAAAAAAAAACAACAACAAGAGACCGTTAAAGAAAATGCTTGATGTGACCTAGAGGGGGGGACACAAGAGTCATGTAGGGTTTGGGGGGGGGGGGGGGGGGGGAATTACAGAAAATATCTTAGAATAGAGTTACTAGTAGAGTTTTAGACAAGTCTTAAGGGTGGTGGAGTAGTTGAGTACGTCCGCCGCCTTCACCTCCCTCGGAGGAAATAGAAAAATATATTAAAAATATATTCTTTAAGCAGCAATCGCTCACCTCCAACCCCCTGTAACTTTCAAGTGTCGTCCCCCCGGGAATTACAAATTACCCCCCTCCTCACCGGAGAAAAGAAATGCCTGAAAGAAATTCTGGTTGCTAAGAACGCGGCGGCATGTTAATAGACAAATAATGTGTGAGGAATACGAATTTATAAGGGTTACCCAGGGTTACCGCGCTGGGTACAGTGACGCCACTGTATTCGATAAAATTGGACTCAACCTTCTTTAAAATTTATCCATTTGGGTTCATCCATAAATGACGTTACGCTTTTTTGGATGATTTACCTCCCCCCACCTCCCCTCCGTCACACATCGTCACAAAAAGCCAGACCCCACCCCCTAAAATGACGTCACACCTCAGCCTACAACCCCCCCTCAAAATTACAGTTGAATTTTTTTTAAAACATCGATATTTTTCAAAATCTTGTCTGAACTCTATCAAAATAAAGTCTTTTAATCAAATCCTATTACAATTTATTAAAACAGTTTTCTAAAACGCGAAATAACGTCTAAAATTCGTTTTCTAACATTGCTTTTTTATAATGCAAAATTGTGACGTCGCACCATCTGAACCCCCCCCCCCTCTCCCCATAATCACACACCGTCACAAAAATTACGGACCCCCCCCTTCCCCCTACGAGTGTGACGTCATTTATGGACGACCCCTTTCGCCTAACAAATACCATATTAACATCTCACTATTCGGCCAGCTGTCTTTGTTGAAACCAGAACAATTGTTTGCATACCAAAATCATCATATACACACCAACTACTGCCAGCAACCTGCTTCACACTAACTACATGATCCACGTCACCCTTCCAATACTTACCAACATGCTTCTCGCCATTAATTGTAAACTGTATGTTGTAGGCGTCACCCGGCCTGTAGATAAAGTTAGTAAAATATCTAATATATTGTGTGAAATATAGTAGCATCCAATATAAAATATAACAGAAGCGATGAATATTAGATAAAATACTTGTATTTTTCTATCAATGAAAACTTATTCCTTTAATACACTGCACAATGCACCTTAATGAACTCATGCATTAGTCTCTCTAGTTTTTTAATCCACGTACATTGGTTTATAGCGTTTTAAAATGTTTTCTTTCACGTGTGACAACTCATATGTATGTGAAATTTACGGGGAAAAGGCAGTTTTGGGGCACTAAAAATTGGGGGCCATGGGCTGCTGCTGTAACAGCCCCTCCCTTAATCCGCTACTGCTTCAAGTTATAAGCTATGTTATACTGCTACATCAAGCTATAAGCTGTTTTATACTGCTATCTACTAGCTAAAAACTGTTTTTATACAGCTAACTACCAGCTAGAATCTGAAGGACGGTGGAAGGAGAGGCAAGGCTTGTCGGGCTTTCGAGGGCGCAAATAAAGAGCTGCCTAAAACCGAGTCCAGTGGAGAGGTGTGTCTGCAGTCCTTTCCTCCTCACTAGGCCACAAAGGAATAAATCGAGTCATAAGCTAGAAAGACGCTAGCTTTAAACAGCACCCTCTTGTGCAATGACATTTTTTTAAAAATGATTAACTGCAAGGGTTTATTCGGTCTCCGCCGTCACATGATCTCTTTGTTTACTTAAAAAAATCAATCAGTTTAGACCAGGTAGGCACTAACAGAAATCTGCCGCGTCTGACAACATCACGGGCTGGAGCCGTCGAACCTGGGCGCGGTAAAAATTTGAACAATGCCAAACTGTTACATTAAGCAATGAGAATCATTAACTTCTAGTCTGTATTTCTTTTTGGCATCTTTTCCTGGGGTGGGGCACCGCCCTCACCCTCTCAATGAAGTAGGATATTTAGAAAATATATTATTTTAACATTGCCTCCACCCCACCATTCAAATAACATTTCAAACAAATCCCGCACGTTTGGGGTCAGCGGGTGAGGGAGGGGGTGGGGGGACACAATCAAATCTCACACGCTGGGTAAGCGAGGGTGACAAGAATCCAAATGAATTCTCTGGCTTCTCAGCTCAGAATTATTTGATGGTGCTGTCGTTTAGGGGATTGAGGGTGGGTGGATGGATGGAGATTACATGAACTGTATATAAATAGCACAACCTTGAACGTAGAGTAGGTTATCGTAAACTCTTTCACGACAAGGAGTTAAATATGTAGTGTTAAATGCTATCATGACTTAACACTGTGGTCACTGGCATTGCCGCCCCCCGCCCCCCTCCCCCTTCACGGGCGGAGTCTTCCACTACTGAATTGGATGGAGGGCTTCTATGAGGTTTAACTTGGTGTGTACATGTGTACATGTGCACATGATATAGCATGATAGTAACTGTCAAAGGAGAGCTTTTTGTTTTCAATCAACACAAACAACAAACTGACAGGAGTTGACTGACAAGGGACAGATTACTCTTAGATCTACTTCACACATGACACACAGTCAAAAGTTTAGATATTGCCTAGAGATACGTTTAATTGTTGTTTTTTTTTTTTGTTGGCTTAAGCCTTCATCTATCACGGTTTTGGTCTTGTTAGGTGTCATCCATAAATGACGTCACGCTTTTTGAACGATTTTTACCAGCCGCCCCCCCCCTGAAATGACGTCACACCTCAACCTACAACACCCCTCAAAATTGCAGTTGAATTTTTCTTAAAAAATACAAAATTTTGTCTGAACTATGTCAACATAGAGTATTCCTATTACAATTCCCTATTACAATTTATTTAAACAGATTTCTAAAACGTGAAGTAACAGGTAAAGTTCGTTTTTTTTTGTAGTGAAAAAGTGCGACGTCACATCATCTGAACACCCCTCCCCCTCCCCCTCATCACACACCTTTACAAAATTTACGGACCCCCCTCCCCTTACAAGTGTGACGTCATTAATGGACGACTCCTGAAAGAAGGCTCAAGCCTAAGTCTTCCCTTCGCTTACAATTGGGTGATTTCCAATCAAGCATTGACATAGCTCGCAGAATTGAGGATTTAAAAAAAACGACTAGCTTTAAATACAGTGTAACACCATAGGTCATCCATAAATAACGTCACGCTTTTTTTTGACGATTTTTACCTCCCCCCCCTCCCCCTCCGTCACACGTCGTCACAAAAAAGCCAGACCCCCCCCCCCCCTAAAATGACGTCACACCTCAACCTACAACCCCCCTCAAAATTGAAGTTGAATTTTTTTAAAACATCGATATTTTTCCAAAATCTTGTCTAAACTGTTACAATTTATTAAAACAGTTATCTAAAACGCGAAATAACGTCTAAAATTCGTTTTTCTAACATTGCATTTTTATAATGCGAAAATGTGACGTCGCAACATCTGAACTCCCCCCCCTCATCACACATCGTCACAAAATTACGGACCCCCCTCCCCCTTACGAGTGTGACGTCATTTATTGATGACCCGATAGTAGTCCCTGAGTAGCAATGTGATGGCAAATATTCTATCGCTTATTGATTAGCCATACGCAATATATTTCAAAAACTAGACTGAATAAAATCTAATGGTAGTAGTTTTGACAACTGACATTAACCTAGCTGTAACCGTAACAAGTTAACATAACACTCGGAAGGGTTAAAACAACAGGACTCGACGATTCTATCAATGTCAACAAGTGTCTGTGGCAAATTGAAAAGAAACATAAACGCGCACGACGCCGAACGAAAGTAAAATTCACTATAGCATGAAAAACTTACCTCGCAAACATGGTAGCTGACATTGTACGTGTGCTGGCTGGTTACACCTTGTGAACTGCTGCACGCTGTATATTTAGTTCACCCACCGCGCACATAGGATGGCGTGAGGGGTGGTTGATGCAACACCCGAGTAAAAGTGGCTAAACTGGAGGGGAACTTAAAAAAATTCTTTATCTGCATTCGTCAGTACTCTCGTCCAGAGGCGGATTAAGCTGATAGGGTAGTGGCCCGCGGCCCCTGATTTTCAGGGGCTCCCAAATGTGTTCTCGTTAGCAAAATTACATTTAATTTCCCTACAGACGTATGTTTTTGTTAGTAAAGTTGTTATTTACTTAATAAGGGCGAAGAAACATGAGTTTTTCCCAATGAAAAACATGGTTTACTCCAACACATGTGTTTATGACTGATTCGTCTAGTGGCGCAGCTAGAGGGAGGGCCGATGGGGCGGCCGCCCCGGGCACTGACCTTCAGAGGGCGCCAAAAGGAGTTGAAAAACAATTTAAAAAGCTCATTTTAAGCTGAAATATTAAATTATACACAAAGTAAAGAAAAGAATCGGCTACAAGGCTACACGCTTATTGAACTGTTTTCTATATCAATTGTGTGACATAAACATGAAATTTGTTATGGAACAATATCTGGTAAAAAGGTAAAAAAAAAAAAAAAACGTTGGGAAGCGAAAAATTGATAGTCCGCCCTGAGCGATGAAATAGGTCGTTACGCCTCTGGATCCGTCTAATCGTTAACTTCTTGTTTCTTCCTCTTCGTTTTTAATTTTTAGTGTTGGAAGAGATCTAGCCTTATCTGCCAGACTTATTCGAATTTAAATAACCATGAGCTTTGCCGACTCGATCAACCCTCCAACACAATTAAGCGTTACGTGTCAACTGGTTATGCGCCATTGAGGCCATTGACTCCGATTTCAGCCTGCTTTTCTTTTTGGATTAGCTTCCATAGCCTTTGTCCAACCAAGAACAAACTACAATGTTAGCAGTTATTTTATTTTGGAGTTGTCTCTCCTAGAAGAGTGGCTGTCTCCGTCTAACGAGCCTCATCTGCCCGAGGGTTCGAACTCGAGACGTTTCGGTTTAGCAACCATGAGCTTTTTTGACCTCTTAATCGTTAACAAAACAATAATAAATGACCAGTTAATGGTAACGCTAACCAAACATAATAGAAAAGAACGTAAAGACATACTGGTCCGGCAATCTGCTTGGTTCAAAAAGGTAAGAATGTTTGTGTTATTTGAAAGGTCGGTTAGTGAAAATTTTACATGTACCAAATAAGTAAGATTTAAAACTTACTCTAGACACCAAATGGGAGCATCATGCTGAATAATAGACATTGTGATCTAAATTAATACTAATAGTTTCGCTGTCTGTCTATCTATCTATCTATCTATCTATCTGACAAGAACGCTGTAGAGAAAACACAAGCAAAATAAAAACATGCACAGTAAATCGAAAAACGAAGTATGACGCGGTCACATTTAGCATAGAGTACAAAATAATCTCAGTAATATGACGTCATTGTTTCTCGAGTAAACATTGAATAAAGAGGCAATTTTGTCTAATCTAAATGGTTTGCGTGAAGAGTTTCTTTCATACAATTCTTCGGGTAGGGGCGAAGCCCCACCCCCGCGTAAGAACGTCTGAGCCCCCCCCCCCCCCCCCTCCCTAACTCAAAAGAAATTTCTTTTTCGATACTCTATAATAAAATTACCGCCTAATTAATGTGTCTAATCTAAAAAGTGGTTTTCTTGCAATTTCTTTAATGCAATTCTTCGGGTAGTGGCTAAGCGCGACACCAGTGTTTCTTTGAGACTTTTTCCTCCCCGGAGAGGGGTGGGGGTACTTGAAATTTTCGGGGGCGGGGTAGAATTTTCTGGGAGGGGGCGGACACTGGAAAAAGTGTATAATTATATTTCGTTGAATGGGACGGTAGACATGTTTTTTTTGGGGTGGGGGTGGAGGGGTGGGGTGGGGGTGGGGGGGACGGTGTGTTGGGGGAGGGGGGGGTGGGGGGGTGTGTGGGGGGGTGGGTTGGTGTCAGTGTTTCTTTCAAACTTCTTCCTTCCCGGAGAGGGGTGGGGGTACTTGAAATTTTCGGGGGCGGGGGTAGAATTTTCTGGGAGGGGGCGGACACTGGAAAAAGTATATAATTATATTTCGTTGAATGGGACGGTAGACATGTTTTTTTTGGGGGGGGGGTGGTGGAGGGGGGGGGGGGTTAGTGGGGGGCGGTGTGTGGGGGGGGTGGTGTGTGTGGGGGGGTGGGGGTGGTGTGTAGGGGTGGGGGGGTGGGGGTGGTGGGGGTGGGGCGTGGTGTGTGGGGGGGGGGGGTTGGTTTTAGTTTAGAGAAAAGAGACAGCACTATCAGCCTAGCGCCCGTTGTACCCTTCCTCAACGGGCCATTTTTCTCGTTAATACTAATAGTTTCGCTGTCTCTCTATGTATCTATCTGTCTGACAAGAACGCTCTAGAGAAAACACAAGGAATTTAAAAACCTGCATAGTAATTCGAAAAACGAAGTATGACGTCGACACATTTAGCATAGAGTAGAAAATAATCTCAAACCCAGAGAGTGCTCACAGTTATATGACGTCATTGATTATCGCGTAAACATTGAATAAAAAGGAAATGTTGTCTAATCTTAATGGTTTGCGTGAAGAGTTTCTTGCATACAATTCTTCGGGTAGGGGCGAAGCCCCACCCCCCGCGTAAGAACGTCTGAGCCCCCCCCCTCCCCAACTCAAAAGAAATTTCTTCATCGATACTCTATAATAAAATTACCGCCTAATTAATGTGTCTAATCTAAAAAGTGGTTTTCTTGCAATTTCTTTAATGCAATTCTTCGGGTAGTGGCTAAGCGCGACACCAGTGTTTCTTTCAGACTTTTTTCTCCCCGGAGAGGGGTGGGGGTAATTGAAATTTTCGGGGGCGGGGTTAGAATTTTCGGGGAGGGGGGGGGCGGACACTGGAAAAAGTATATAATTATATTTCGTTGAATGGGACGGTAGACATGTTTTTTTGGGAGTGGGGGGGTGGGGGGTGGGGAGTGGGGGGGTGGGGGGGGGGGTGTGAGTGGGGGTGGGGGGTGGGGCGGTGGTTTCCTCATCGATACTCTATAATAAAATTACCGCCTAATTAATGTGTCTAATCTAAAAAGTGGTTTTCTCGCAATTTCTTAAATGCAATTCTTCGCGTAGTGGCTAAGCGCGACACCAGTGTTTCTTTCAGACTTTTTCCTCCCCGGAAAGCGGTGGGGGTACTTGAAATTTTCGGGGGCGGGGGTAAAATTTTCGGGGAGGGGGCGGACACTGGAAAAAGTATATAATTATATTTCGTTGAATGGGACGGTAGACATGTTTTTTTGGGGGGTGGGGGTGGGGTGGGGGTGGGGTGGGGGTGGGGTGGGGGGGGCGGGTGGGGGTGGGGTGGGGTGTGGGGTGGGTGTGGGGTGGGGGGTGGGGGTGGTGGGGGTGGTGTGTGTGGGGGTGGGTGGGTTGGTTTTAGTTTAGAGAAAAGAGACAGCATTATCAACCTAGCGCCCGGTGTATCCTTCCTCAACGGGCCATTTTTCTCGTAGTATAAATAATGAGGGTGTGATACATAAGCTCGTTTACAGTGCGGATTAAAGAGGGGCGGAGGACTGAACGGGGTTTTAGGTGATTTTACCACAGGTGCTTTGACCATAGGGGGTTTGACCATAGGGAGTTTGATAATAGGGGTTTTGACCACAGATGGGCTTTGACCATAGGGGGGTGTGACAACAGCGGAGTTTTGACCTCAGAGGGGGGGGGGGGGGTTAACCATAATATATAGATTTTAAAATAGAAATTCGAAACTATAATTTGATTTAAATTTACGATACAATTCATACGATTTTCTGTGTGTCCATCAATTGAAATTAACATGTACTAAAAAAAAGGTCAATAACGATATTTTAGTTTCCACATAAAGGCTGCTGCTAGGCCTCAAAGATTTATTTTAAATACAAATGGAACACAAGTAAATAATGTAGATGTACCTGAAAATACATAGCATACATTAAAGATAAAAAAGCATGAATGAATGTTTTAGTGTTCAAACCATAAGCGTATTAAGCATATTTTTTTGTCGTTCCTTATCATGACACAGGCGCACAAGCTATACAATGTGAACTGTATAGACTGACCCCCCCCCCCCAACCCTTCGAGACGTTAGGCTACGCCTCTGATTATATCCCCGGACATTCTGCATTATGACAAATGCCGTCTCTTATCTTAGAAAACTCTGGTCCAGTTTTGACCACTAACCGTTTTATAATTCAGTACAAAATTTCAATGAGCCGAGCTTTATTTGAACAGCATCGTACACGGCTCCAGGTGGAGGGGGGGGGGGGCGTGCAGTGGCGGGTTTAAAGGGGGGGGGGGCTGAGGGGACTGCAGTCAGGGCCGCCGATTAATTTTCACTTACAAACCGTAGTAAATTTCACTTTGCAACTTTTATTGACCTCGCTTATAAAAAACACACCAAGTGAGTAAATTACATTAGACTACTCCTAGTCGACATTGCCAGATCTGCATGTAATAAGTTGACGGATCACATAAACTAAGATAATTTAAACTTGACATATCTCTTGAAATACTTGTTCTTTAGTTCCTTCTTCATTTTCGAATCGATTTTGACTCGTTTATTTCTAATAAGTTTGTAAAGATTCAGAATCTTTAGTTCCAAGATAAATACTAATATAGATGCATGATGCTAAACCAAGTGAATTTTAACTCTCTTGCCAAATTACCAACTGGGAACATTTTATGACGGCAGGACTGGCACACTATCAGCCGTCAGCCGGCTTATATATATATATATATATATATATATATATATATATATATATATATATATATATATATATATACATATATATATATATATATATATATATATATATATATATATATATATATATACATCCTACATATATATATACATGTATATACATATATATATATATATATAATCATATGGGGGCCCCAAACATTTTTCAGCCAGGGCACTGTTCAAACTTAATTCGCCCCTGGGGGGGGGGGGGGAGGGGGAATATGATGACTTACCAGTAGAA